GATGAGTCATAATAATTTCAACATACAAAAAAAAGAAATAACAATAAAATTGATAATAATAATAAACTTTAACCAGAAACAGTTTAGTCACTAAAGTATTTATTTTACAATGTCTCACACTCATGCGATAAACTTTCTTGAAATAAATTTGACATGTTTTATTGTGGAGTTGTTTGAGATGTTTGCCTCCCAATACGATCTTCCTTTTCTCTGATATAACGTCGTAAAAGTTCCTCCAAACTGTTATCTTGTTGGTCAACCGCAATTTGTGTCGCTCTTCGCGCCAATTCCCAGATCCAAAGCTTTGCAGCATCATTATCTAATCCTTTTAGATCAGTTCCTCCTTTAAATTTTTGAACCGCACTAGCAATGTCACGTGCAGGAAGCTGATGATTCGGATACTTCGCCTTCAATAATTGTCGTTGAGTAGTAACTCCCAAATTACCATGAAGCGTATAGAATTCAATATCTTCAAGGACTGATTTCGGTAAATTTCGATTCTTTGGTGACGCTGCTTCCAATACACTACGATACCTAGGTGATGACATCGCTTGGTTCGCTGATGGTTGTGACGATGGTCTAGCTTCTCGTGTTTGTTGAATATTAAGTTCATGATTATGCTCATTCACGAACGTAGTAACAGTTATGCATGTACTCGTTTTTGGAAAAGAAAGGTTGATATGCCATCCACATTCAATACGTTTAGACGTTCGATTGCGTTGCTCATGTACTGCTGCTTTTTTTTTTGGAGTATACCGTCCTCCGTGTTCACAATCATACGTCCTTTTTCTAACCATCCCCATTTCATCCCTTTCAACTCGTTTCTTTCTGACAACAAATCCTCGCTCTCGACCATAAATTTCAAGAAATTCATCCACGTTTTCCCAATTTTGAAAGGTCGTACCAACTGCAAGGATTACACTTGAGTTAGCCGCTTGAGGCGTAACGAAAGTACCATTATCGCTAAGTACGCCTGCTGTACCACTAAACCCTGCTGGATCTTCTTTAGGTGTGGTAGGTGACAAGGGAATAATAGTTTCTCGATGACCAGATCCGTCTTGCTCAACAGGAAGCGCGATTGGTGTCGGTTGAATTGGTGAAATTGCTGTCAACATGGAA